TTGTTGTATGGAAGTGATTTCCAGTCTTTTCCAGCTCTTGGATATACACACATTCACGTTCAGGTAGGGATTCTATATGCTCCAGGGGATTTTGTTGGACACAGTGAAGACAGCAGTGACTGCATGTGGTATGCTAATGTCACAGAGTGGCAGCAGTGCAGAAAACACCTCTTGCTGCTGTTGGCAGATGTGTTCTGAGAGGAGCAAGGCAGATATAAGGGCTTGGAGGAGGAGAGAGATTGATGAAGAGAAGGAAGCAGTGGGTGGGATAGAAGAATGAGAAGCAAAAGCCAAGGAAGAATTCTGAGGAAGGAAACTGAGAATGAACAGGTTGTTAGAACAGAAGTGCTGCACATAGCCAGGAACTATAGGATTGAGAAGTTGAAGATCAGGTGTTATAATTTGAAATGAAAAGCAAAATATTTGGCTTCAGGCCACACACTCTTTTTAGTATATATGTATGTGAGTTGTATAAAGAAAGATCTGTGTTGCCAAATTGTATCTCATATGATAAGTCAAATGATGATTACAATAATGTTTTTTTTTTAACCTTATGGAGAGGAAAGGTAATGAAGTCATAAAACAGAACCGATTAACCCCAGATTATGCTAAGTCAGTGTTTCTTTATGGTAGGCAGTCTGCAACAATAAGGGAAGTGTGGCCTGTACATTCTAAACTGCACAGACTGCATATTTAGGGAATCAATATGAAATTTTGCAAGAGGCTTAAAACTATTTCTATGATTGACTTGCAAAGGAGAAAGAAGCTTTTCTGACATTTGAGGAGCCACTCGTTTTCTGTAGTGTTGAATTAAAAGTTGTTTCTGATGTGCTTAATGCTCAAGATAGACATCTTCAAGTATGAAACAGAAGCATAAGCCGTTGTCTGTAAATTACTTGACCCGGGTAGTCATATGACTGTGAATAAAGTTTCTTCCTGTTTTTTCTTTTTCCCCTCCTCCTCTTTTGTGAATTATTTCAGCAGCAATCTAAAATGATTCTGTAGTTATTTAATATTTAGCTACCCTTTCACTTAGCCCTTAATTTAGCTCAGACAAATCTAAAATATGTTAGGTAAAAAACTATTATAATTAAATCCAACTGGGGGTTTTTCCAATGTGTTAACACAACCAGAAAAGGAACTGTTTGTTTTGCTGCAACTGATTCTGCTTGAGGGAAAGATTATAAATGAATGTCCCAAATTTAAGTAAATTATCAGCTATTTTATTTATTTATTTAAAAATAGATTTCACCCATAGACCTCATTCATATTTAGAGTCCAGTTGTAACCACATACTAATAGAACTAACTATTGATGGACTATAATCATGAAACATCTATGCCAGCTACATTTTGAATAGGCGGCATTCTGGTAGTGCGGTATAAATGTTAGATTGTTTGTTGTGCTACATAGTACAACCAGCTCTGGAGAAGCTGGAGTGTTGGTGACCTGGTTTACTAAGTCCTGGGTTGTTTAACCATGTGCTATGTCTGGTGGTATTCCACACTTCTGTCTTCAATTAGTTGTAATAAACTACCCAAGAACACACATACAAATTGAGCAAGTTTGGCAACAGGGTGAGGAGGCCAGTGTATAGGGCTGTGATCCCTTCTCTAGACAGGAGAGTCAAGTGCAAGTAACTAGGGAGGTTAAAAATCAGTGTTTTTTTAAAATCTGATTTTTTTAATTCAAATTGAGTTTTTTTAATTGGATTTTTAAATAAAATTCTTTTTTAAGGAAGAATCTATCTAAAGATAGTTTTCTATTTAAGATATATTATAGTCCAAAGGTTATTCATCATGAAATAAGGTTTAGTTTTTAATTATGTAGCACAAGGGTGTATGTTATGCAAAGTTTAAATTGTTTGGTAAATGAATTCTATTAATACATCTATAACGTTATGCTCTTCCAGAGGTTTCTGTAAGATTATTGGGCAGTTTTTCTGTCTAGATTATCACAGATGTTTGGTTTTACAAGTCTCAAAACTGAATTTGTATCGGCAGAGATCACATTTCTCCACAGAAAAAAAGTTACAAAATTTAATTTAATTAAAACATTTATATGCCGTCCTTTGCAGCAGCCTCAAAGAAGAAACATACAGAGTTAAAAAAAGACCCAAATCCCATTGTTCCTTTGCAAAAATATGTACACAGGAACAATCTCGTTGTTTCTTAATTGCTAATTTTCAAAAAAATATATCAATGAATAGAAGATACTTGGGAGTGGAATAGCTCTGCAAAAGAAACTAAGTCCGAAGGAGGAAGGGGTACTGAAAGTGAAACCTTTTGAGCAGAATATTTCACAAGTCTTTGGATCTTTTTGTGTATAGCCTGAGGTTTATCATATTATTCTTGCCCTGGAGGAGAAAATCTTTAATGGCAGCAGGGTATAAAAAAGACCCAGTTTGGGAATACTTAATGTAATTCCTCTATTTACGAGTATGGAAGCTTGCATGCAAAACTATTATTTAAATCTAATTTTAACTGACAAGTGATTTAAATCGGAATTTAAATTGATTTGATTTAAATCAAATCCACCCTGCAAGTAACTGCTGAAAAGCAAATCCACTGTCCCCTCCCAGCAGACATTTAATTAATTAATTAATTAATTAATTAATTTTTATACTTCCCAATAACCAAGCCGATCATTTCATCTCTTCTGTATAGATCTTCTGCATATTATTTCCACCTTCTCTTTATTTTCTCCCAGTCAGATAGCATGTTCCCTTGTTTGTCTCTTAGCTTTACTAATCTAGATTTGAATTCCCTTTTGATTTCTTAGATCTTCTGAAAGAAGTTTCTTATTTTTACACTTCTGTTGTACTCTTCTATTTCTTTGCACTGATTATTGTAATAGTTCTTTTTGTCTCTACATGATAGTCACTGAAAAGTTGCATTCAGGATTCTGACCCTATTTCTGTCACCTTTTGTTTTTGCTTTCCTGTCCTTTGCAGCTGTGAGTGTTTCTTCTGTCATCCATGTAGGCTTTTTCTTTCTTATTGCTAAAGGTTTTGTCTTTGTTATTCTTCCCTAATAATATTTCTGGTTTTAGTCTACAGTTCCTCTGGCTCACAATTTTATGGTACTTTCTAACACTACTTTTTCTTGATACCCTCATTGCTTTCTACTGACTAATAGGTGGTAGTGGTGGTAACAAAAAACCATCCATACATCCACCCAGGATTATTTCTTCAGATACATTACAGGAACAAACATATTTTTGTTTTATTGTAGTATTTTATGTTTTTCTAAACTTTCATATAGTGGTTGGTTTAGAAAAGGATTTTAGAAAAATTATACTAAGGGTTTTAGAAAAATTATACTAAGTGTTTTCGTATTAGGTTGCAGGCATTTTATATTCCGATGAAGGTCTAGAGCAGGGGTCCTCAAACTTTTTGAATAGGGGGCCGGTTGAAAGACTGTGGTAACTGTTGCGGGCTGGCGAGGTGGGGTTCCTAGGGGCACGAGCCAGTGAGGTGCTGTCGGGCATGCGCAAGGCAGCATCGGGCGCACATGGCGGTGGCTTGCTTGCTCGGAGATCTCCCAGCAAGTCCAAAACCATCCTGAGCAAGCAAGCCACCACCTCCCTGCCTGCGCTACAAGGCAGCGGCGAGTGCGTGTGTATGGGAGGCAGGTGGCGGCGGCGGCTTGCTTGCTTGGAGACCATCACATGGTCTAAATCAGGGGTCTCAAACTCAACTTACCTGGGGGGGCTGCTGGAAGTAGAGTCTGGGTGAGACTGGGCCGCATCAAGTATTCCACCACCGCGGTGGTGGTGGGCCACTCATCCGGAGGCTGGCCTGGGCGCTGCTGGTGCTTTGAAGGCCGCAGGGCCCCTCCCCCGTGCCCCGCCCGTCCCGGCAATTGGCCCGTGGGCCGCGAGTTTGAGACCCCTGGTCTAGATCATGGGTCCTCAAATTACGGCCTGTGGGACGGATCCAGCCTGCTATGGCCATCCATCTGGCCCACGCTGCCATTTGCTGTCCGCACGCATGCTTTCCGCGTGGGTGGGGAGGTGGCGGCTTGCTCCCTCGGAGATGGTCTCAATGGCACCTCACCAATGGCACCTCACCAGCCCGCACCCCCAGGCACCCCCACCTCACCTGCCCGCAACGGTCACCGCAGTCTTTCAACTGGCCCCCTATTCAAAAAGTTTGAGGACCCCTGGTCTAGAGTAAAAATATCCTAATGAATGTTTGTATGTAGTGGTTTAATTTGGTAAACAGTGGAAGCATGTCAGGAAATTCCTGTATCAATGTGATGAGCAAATCCTAGATCATGGTTTTCAGCCTCTGTGATTTTATTGTGAGACCCCCCTCTTTTTTTTTTTTTCTTGATAGGTTCTATGGATAAACTTGAGTCTTGCAAAAATATACCAAGAATGGTCCAAAATAGGCCACAAGTGCCCAGACAGAATTGATATTTGTTTTCTTATGGTTAAATCCCATTTCTAGAGAATATATCCTTCATGTTTTCCATGTATACTTGTCTCTGGACTAGAACAAATTACAACCTTGGACTGTAAAGGAATATACTTGTATGCATTCACTCTCTTTTTAGATGGAGGGATCCTTCCATTCATCTCTTGCTATTCTTGAACTTCCTTCCCTACCAGCCTAGGGAACTGCATTTCCTACCAGCCATCCAAACCCATGAAAAAACAACTTTTAAGTACCCCAGGTTATAGTCCTGTTTTTGTGTATTGGTCTATAAAATGCCATGTAAAACACTGGTAGTACTTAGTATTGGTTTATGAAAGCTATTAATGGTTTATGAAATGTTGAAATAGTTGCTGAAAAGAGGAGGTAATTGTTGTGATATTATTTGATAATATGTGATAAAGTGCTTATAAAGCCTTGTTTATGAGTATCCAAAGAAATAGCCTGGTCTTTCACAACTGTGTAGTATTGACCATAGACTTTTTTTTTTGTTTAGAGCAGAATTTGCTTTACAAGCACCTTGAATGTTGTATGAACTTATACCACTCCCCCTCTTTTACAGGAGACATGGAATGTGGTTTCGATTGCGGAAGGTAGTATTCTGGTTGTTGGGAGTGTACATAGTCATTCCATTTCTAGTAAAACTTTGTCCTGCTATTCAGGCAAAGCTTGTCTTCCTAAATTTTGGTAAGAATCAATATTCTCTCTCTCTCCCCTCCCTCCCTCCTTCCCTCCCTCCTTCCCTCCCTCCCTGTGAATTGAAACTATGTGAATATTTTAATATGCAGGCAACTCACTTATAATGCAAAGGACTCTGCTTTGTAAGTCAGTTTTCTTTAAGTTGGCACTCTCCAGATGTTTGGAACTACAATTTCCATTGGCTGTGCTGATATGTTGGGATAAGCTCCCCACCATTAAACTCTGACATTCGTATGCTCAAAGAAAGTCTTCAGCTACTTGGAGACAATGTGTAAACCTAACACTAGAAGATTACAGCCCTTGAGGAGCCTGGAGCAGTAAAAATTGTGTTTTTGTTAGTAATTGTCATAGCATATACCCAGGAAGCTGTCACATTGAAAACTGTGATCATTTGCAAGATCACACATAACAGTCTATTGCCCCTTCCAGTTTCTAAATCCAGAGTCAAGAAGTCTACCAAAAGTTTAAATTTATATAAGACCTACATTTGCCAGTAGCTGCTTATATTTCATTATCCCTCATTAATTGCTGATAGATGAATGACTTAACACTGCATGGATTTTTGTTGCTCTTGGCATCTGCACAGAATGTCATAATAGCAGCTAGTGAAAGAACAGTTGTTTATTATCTGCCCTCTTCAGCAGTTCTGTACAGTGCTTGGCATGATTATACTTCTAATTATTGTGCTTGCCTAGTATGTAAAAAGTTCACTGCTGGCTTTTGGGAAAACAATATTGTTTAGAATCTTCTGCCCTTCAAATTCAGGTACAGTGATACCTCGGCTCACGAACGCCTTGGTTCACGAACAAATTGGGTCACAAACAAAAATTTCATTAAAATTTTGACTTGGGTCACAAACTCTGCATTGGGTGGCGACCAAGATCGCAGCCATCTCCCCACCCCCACCCCCGAGTGGGGAGATGGCTGCAATTGTGCTGGGGGTGGGGAGAGGGAGATGACTGAGATCGCACCCATCTCTCCCTCCCCCAGCACGCCCCATTCGCACCTGTCTCTCCCTTCCCCAGTGCGCCCCATTTGTGCCGTCTCTTCCTCCCTCAGTGTGCCCGTGATTGTGCCCGTCTCTCCCCCCCACTCCCAGCACGTCGGGATGACGGGCACATGCTGGGATGACGAGCATAATCTCAGTCGTGCAGGGATGACAGGCAGGATCTCAGTTGTGCTGGGGGGGCGGGGAGATGGCCGCACTTGTGCTTGGCGGGGGCGGGGGGGAGATGGCCGCAATCTTTGTTGTTGTCACTTTGCTTCACATTTTTCTGATTTAAAAAGTGGTTACAGAACAGATTAACCTTATTTACATTGAACCTTATGGGGAAATTTAACTTGACTCACAACCAATTTGGGTCACGACCAGAGTCCTGGAATGGATTAAGTTCATGAGCCAAGGTACCACTGTATATGATTTAGAAATAATTTCAATATATTCTTTTTATTTATTTATTTTCAACATTTCTACACTGCTTCACTTCTAAAGAGAATCTGGAGTAGTGAACTAATAAAAAATTAAAAGCAATACATTAAAAACATTTTTAAAAAATATTACATTAAAACCATGATTTAATAAGTACTCTCCAAAAGTTGAAATAAAACAAAGCAAAAATTCAGAAAAATATGGTTTTTCACTTATTCCTGTTACTCATATGTACTAGCTTAAGTAATACTTAACGGTTTTAATTTTATTGCAACAGTTTTGTGGGGTTTATATTTGATACTGTTTTTCAGAGCTGTTGATGATCTCAAACAGCAGGTAAACATAGTATAGTACTGTTGTTTATCTTCTGTTTCAGTGAGAGTACCCTATTTCATTGACTTGAAAAGGCCCCAGGACCAAGGTTTAAACCACACCTGTAACTACTACCTACAGCCAGAAGAAGATGTAACCATTGGGGTCTGGTAAGGAAGTCTTTTTCTCCCCTATAATATGCAGTAAGCTTTTATGGTATGTACAAAGGCTGTGCTTTTGAACTCACTGTTGGGAGACCTTCCAGTAGCACTGCACATATTCTTTTTATATATATTCCTTTTTTGTGCCCCATTTAGGATGTGAATGGCATGGGAAGTAGCACAGTTTATTATCAACACCTATACTGAAAGATTTTCATTGGTTACCAATTGTGGCCAGGGCCAAATTCATGGTGCTTATGGTGACATATTTAATCATTTTAAATCAATCAATCTTCAATCTCTGATTGGAGTTAACAAAGCAATTCCCAGTTGTACTGCTGGGAGGCAGGACTTGGAGGAGCTTGTTAGAGCAGAAGGAATGGCCCACAGAGGGGTTTGGTTCTAGCATGGGACAGATTGCCCTCTCCTGCCTTCTCGTACATTAGATCTAAAAAACTTGGCTTTGTGTCTTCCATTGTGATGAAATGGCATGGGATTGTATCAGCAAGTTGTTTTGGCCTTTTAGAACAATAAAGTCATCCTAAATAAGCCAAATCATATCATGAGCTCAGATGCAATTGATACTATATTTTCAGTCCTAGAAGTGCCTTGGTAATAACCCTTCTGTATCAATGATTGTTGTGTGAGAAACAGCCACTCAAGGACACCACTTCCTAGTTCTCATTCTGTGATGTTAAGTGTACTGCTTGGAACAAACCAGTGTTGCTTAAACCGCATGATTACTCCTGAAGCTTGTTCTGTGCATATTAAATTCACAGTTATCAGACAGAATGACTACTGGGTATTGGACTAGAGTCTCGGGTTTTTCCCAGACAGCAAAGCTCTGTACAATTGGGAACTGCAACAAAATGTTGCAATGTGGAGCGATCCTGTTCAGGATTTCAGCTGGTCATGTCTTTTTCCAGGATGCTTCATTCTGTTCCATATCCATACAGCATATGTTCCTGCCTCCATTCTCACACCTGCACAATAGTCAGCTAGAATTGCATGCCCACTGAATGTGCTCAGCTCTCATTTGGGAATTTCCTTTTGAGGTGGGGCAGGGGGACTCCTTATGCCTACTGATACCTTTTTCTTGAGTGGATGTTGCTTTTGGCTATGCAAGGAACCACTGTTGGTGAGTGAATTCAGTGTCAGTGAAAGATGGACACATTTGTATGTTTTGCATTGTTGCATAGTATTATAATCTTGTTCAGAGCCTTGTCTAACAATAAACTATGCTTTTCTTCTAAAGAGAGCGTAGTGATACTAGTGAGCAATTTGAGTGTATGGATAAGTTAGGTTACTGTTCTGGGACTTGAACGTTCCAGGGACCCTGGGACTTTAACATACCAGGCTGAGACCTGTTTTATAAAGGGCTGAAACCTTTTCAGTGTAGTAAAGAGGTGGAAAGCAAAAAGTGCTACGTATTCTTTGTCTTTGATGTTTAAATTTCTTGAATAAAATGCACAAAATGGGGATTTCTAATATGCTATCTGTGAAAGTGATTTCTTTGGGTCTCTTGCCTTAAAATAACTGAGCTGTCTTACATTCTCTTTGTAATTAGTGTGTTCTGTATATATCTTCTGAATATATTGCAAAATTGGCTGCTATAACCAGCCAGTTCAATGAATTTGTGTTGAGCTGGAAAACCCAAAATAAATGAAAATTTATGCTGAAGTTGCACTGATTGGGTTTAAATGAATAGAGATGAAAATGTTGATGTGAAACCTTTATTAAAAACAAGGGCGTTGCTTGAAATTAAACTCTAATTGTAGTTTATAAAGAAAAGTATAGGCTTCAGTGCAATTCCATGTTTGTTCACGTTTTGAGGTACATGAAGAGTCTGGGTGTGGTTTTTTTTAAAATTTTGTGATGAACCAGCTTTTAAAATCACTCACAATCAGCAGTTTAAATTGGCTTCTGTTGGAGTATGTTTCTGGGTATGTTTTGTTTGTTCATTCTCTTTTTGTGGGAACTACTGTGAAAATTTCCCACAAAAGGAAGTAATCATAGCCTCCTGATACTCAATTGTGTGCTACTTTGCATTAATCTACTTAGGTTTTTGCTAGTAAGTAACAATTAAATGGAAAAATAAGGCTGATCTTACCTTATTTAAAACCAGAAGTCATAAACAAAATCTGTATGACTGTTGGGTTTCCACTGAGTTAGGTGATATATGGTCCATTTTGCATTCTGGCCTGCATGTACGATGATCAGTCTGACAGAGGAGACTCCTAAATTCACTTGAAATTAATTCTTCAAGCCCAAATGTACTTTACACTTGAACAGAAAGGATGTAAATGTCGTACCCCATTGATGAAAATGGGGCCGTCTTCAAAAGCAGTTTGTGGTCTGGCATGTAGGGTTCAGTTGCTCGAATAGTCAAAAGTCTTATCATTTGAATAGTATAACATTAATCTGGAACAGGAGTGTGGAAGTTTTTTCCTGTAACTTGCTTTTGGCCCAAGAAAAAGCAATTTGGGTTGCAGATGGTAACAAGTGAAGCCAGAGCCCAAAGGCATTACAGGACTACCAAGCTTACAGGACTACATAGTTCTTTCTCTGTACCATCTGGTCCCATCCCTCCCTCCCTCCTTCTCTCTCTCTTTCCCCCTCCTCTTCTCTCTTATCCCCTCCCCACTCTTTCTGACCCCATTTCCAGAAAATACAGTGATTATGAATGTTTGGTTAGGGATATTTCCCACATACACATACCCTTTTCCAGTATTTCATGAATTTGGATGGACTAAATTTCTTTATTTGGCATCCATGTTTCATAATTACCTAAAGATCTCTTTTCAGACTTCCAAAATATGTTAGTTGGAGCCTGACTATATGCCATCTTAAGGTTTTTTAAAGTGCAGATAGCATCATCTATGCAGGGAAGTTGCTAATAGGCTCTTAACAGGTCTGAAGGGGAAAAGTAACTGTTTCCTTCCTGATACAGTCCTGAGATTAATCCCTTCTCCGAATTTGCTTTGGTGAAAAGTCCATCATTGATGGCAAGAAATTCAGGTAAGAGATTTCCCTCAGTGTCACAGTATTGAGGACAAGACTAAATTCCCCCTTTGTACTTGGTTTGTTCCTATTAATTACCAATGTTCTCCTTGGGTGATTCAATTAGTGTTTTAAAATCTCTGTATATTATATGTAAAGCACTGGAACTTGTGTGCCTTTTTTACCTCTTTAGAAAAAAGAACTCAGGATTTCCCCAGTGATGCTGACAATAAAAACAGTGGCTTTGCATATAATTTAATGCAATTATGTCACTAAAATATTCTGCTATAATCTCAAAAGTATTTTTTCCTCAAGAAATTTCAGTTGAATAAATCCTACTGTAGGCATACTTGCGCTGTCTTCTGTTCCGGTGGATTTAGTATGTAATTAGCTGCTTGCTGTAAATACAGGCTAAACTTAACTATGAGCCATAACTCTGTCTTGATAAGATACTTAGCTAATGTAATTAAAAAGGATATAAAGGACTAAAGGATAATCTTAGATTAAAAGTGAAGTGAGAAATCACTGCCACTAACAGGTTTAATATTGTTTGCATCCTGGAAATGTTGAAGAGTAAATGTTTTTCAAGTTTGTCTTGGGACTAGTATTTCCTTCTGCTATTTTCTGAATATATCTACATTGCAGATTTAACTGGTTTATCACTCACCTCCTTTCTCTTGGAAATGTAGAGGTGAGGCAGAGATTAGTTACTAATTGGTGAAAATAGTTTGAAAGAAGCTATGCCAATTGCACTGGTATAAACCTGATACAGAATTTTAGTGTACATAAATTGTCTGTTTGTATGTATCCTTGACATCCAATTGATAATTTTCCCTATGGATGATTTAAATGCTTTATTAGAATTGAAATATTTCCATTTCCTCAAGAAAAATTTATTGGCTTCTGTAATGGCACAGTTCAAGAGTATCTGTGGGCCCGGTTCACTTGAAATAATAACCTAAAGCATAGGTTTTAATTTAATAATGGATTGTTGAATTATCATTATGTACAACCCCTGTGCCATGGTTTAACTATGAGTTGTTAAACCTCCCAAAAACCCTGAGTTCATAATCCAACAATAAACCATGGGTTCTTTTCCCGAGTAGTACTTCTGTATCTACAGCTTAAAATTCTACTTCCCACATCTAATGACATGGACTTCAGTTCATGAAGCATTCTGTTACAATGCATTTTAATTAAGGCACCATAACATTCTTAGGATTAGTTGCAACCCATATTATACAGGAGGTAAAACTCACATGGTAATACATGAACTTTCAGGAATATTGATGTCTGATACTTTAGAAAACCTAGCCAGGTTTTATAAACATGGCTCGAAATTTATCCTAGGAACAATTGAACTGGGAAGCCTAATGGAATCATGAGTTGTGTGTGTTTCAGAACAGAACAGTGGGCTCTTCTCTAGAATGTCCTCTTCTGTCCATATTTTCTAGTAGTAAAACATTGGAAATTCTAGAAAGAATTACTTACTAATGAAGATTGTAATGGGATATCTTACTAATTCTGGTAGGTACATTGATTGGATATTTCGCCTCCTATGGTTCTGGATCAATACAATCCTTATGATAGGAATAGAATATGTAGGAAAATTATGAGATTTCTAATTTGCTATTTGCCTCTAGGCACACAGTTCCCACATCTCTATGGAAAGAAGCTCAAGGCAAGGACCAACTGTGGTATGAGGATGCTTTGGGTTCCACCAGCCCTGTGATCCTGTACTTGCATGGAAATGCAGGGACTAGGTAAGAGATAAGGAAAAGCAAATTGGCTGCAAAGAGGACAAGTATGTTTATTCTTATGGTCTAGATCAGGTCATTGTTGGTCATATCAGGTAGGCCAAAGCAGACTACTTTGACTTGCAACATTTCAAGTGCCATTTTGTTGTTGTTGTTGTTAGTCGTGAAGTCGTGTCCAACCCATCGCGGCCCCATGGACAACATTCCTCCAGGCCATCCTGTCTTCCACCATCCACCGGACTCCACCTAAGCTCACACCAACTGCTTCAGTGACTTCATCTAGCCACCTCATCCTCTGCCGTCCCCTTCTTCTTTTGCCATCTATTGTTCCCAGCATTAGGTTCTTCTCCAGGGAGTCCTTCCTTCTCATTAGGTGGCCAAAGTATTTGAGTTTCATCTTCAGGATCTGGCCTTCTAAAGAGCAGTCAGGGTTGATCTCCTCTAGGACTGACCGGTTTGATCGCCTTGCTGTCCAAGGGACTCTCAGGAGTCTCCACCAGCACCACAATTCAAAGGCCTCAATCCTTCAGCGCTCAGCCTTCCTTATGGTCCAGCTTTCACAGCCATACATTACAACTGGGAAAACCATAGCCATGATTATATGCACTTTTGTTGGCAGGGTGATGTCTCTGCTTTTTAGTATGCTATCTAGATTTGCCATAGCTTTCCTCCCCAGGAGCAAGCGTCTTTTAATTTCTTGGCTGCAGTCCCCGTCTGCGGTGATCTTGAAGCCAAGGAAAATAAAATCTGTCACTACCTCCATTTCTTCCCTTTCTATTTGCCAGGAAGTGAGAGGACCGGATGCCATGATCTTAGTTTTATTAATGCTGAGTTTCAAGCCAACTTTTGTGCTCTCCTCCTTCACCTGCATCAAGAGGCTCTTTAGTTCCTCTTCACTTTCTGCCATGAGAGTGGTATCATCTGCATATCTCCCAGCATTCTTAATTCCAACTGATGATTCATCTAGCCCCGCCTTTCTCATGATGTGCTCTGCATTTAAGTTAAATAGGCAGGGCGACAGTATACAGCCTTGCCGAACTCCTTTCTCAATTTTGAACCAATCAGTGGTTCTGTGTCCAGTTGTTGTTGTTGTTGTTGTTGTTGTTGTTGTTGTTATTATTATTATTATTATTATAACATTTCTATGCCGCCCCTTGCCGAAACCTCGGGGCGGCTTACAACACGATAAAATACAATGAAATACAATAGCACATAATAAATTACCATTAAATACAAAATACCAAAAATACATTGATTTACAAATATAAGATTATCAGTATAAATTAAGTAAATAAAAATATAGGAGGAGAAAGAGAAGGAAGAAGAAGTTGCCCTGGCCAGATCATATGTTTTAACAATTAAAATGATGTTTAAATAAAAAGGTC